AGGCACCAGGAGTTCAGTTTGGAATGACTGCCCATAAAATGTCTTTACAAAAGGAAGTGGTGGGAGCTGCACTTCTGTTTTGTCAGTGTGTTGGGGTATGGTGATTTTTTTGATTTCGTTGGGTTGTTTTTGCTAGATTTCCTGTTTTTTTTATCTGCTGTCTGGAAGCAGATTAGATGTATAGAATATTCCCCCCCACCCCATTGCATAACAGTAGCTTATGGTTCACAAATGGTGCCGAAACAGGGAAGCATGGTGACATTTGGTTGAGATGGAATTCAACAAGGCAACCTTTTGGTTGTTCTGAAATTTTTGCTCCTGTTAACAAAGTTTAATTTATTAATTAACACTAAAATTAGCTGAGTTAGTCAGAGCATGGTGCTGATAACATGAAGGTTGTAGGTTCAATCCCTGTACAGGCCATTCACTTAAGAGTTGGACTCGATGATCCTTGTGGGTCCCTTCCAATTTGCAACATACTGTGATTCTGTGAATTATGTAGTCAATTCTGTGAAATATTTAGGAAATTCATGGAGTCTGTCAGTTTTATGGTTTCCTTTAGGGGGATGGGATRGTACTGAAACAGAATATGCTCAAACCATCTTTCTAAATCCTTCCAGAAGACAATTTGTAAGTTTCTCTTTGGATTCTCACCTACTGRTATGACACAATGTACTGTTGTGTTATCACTGGGATTACACTTCCATCTTCTTTACTGCTAGAAAAATAAGCAGCATTTTCTTGTTATTATAARCTATTGAACAATGAATTAGCAGGAACTTAAACCTTCCAGTGTTTTCTAATAATCACCTCACCCAGCTCATCACCTGCTGCTACCAGATTAACTGCTGGAAATCTAAATGTAGTCAAACCTAACAGGAAAGAAAATGACACACTTGTTAAAACAYTCAATGCTCATTAAGGCCAGAAGTTTGAGGAGCTACTGACAGAACAGATTTTGTCATTTAACATACAGCTATGAGTGTACAGGTTGGAGGTAGATACTGTTGATTCCTTCGTGAAGTGGGATTCCTGTTYGAACCAGGAAACATTCAAAACACTCCAGCTACTCCTTCTATATCTAGGAGGAGTGAAATGGTTATTGCCTTGTTCCTGTTTAAAAATACTATAAACAGCAGCTGCATCATAGCCATGCAGTGATATCAGCTAAACCAGTTTGGTTTTGCCTYTTTTGCCTAACCTGTGAATCATAGCTGTTCAGACATCTGGAGAGGATAATGCCATGTTTGAAAAATATGGATAGCATGGTATTGTAGCTTGTGCAGGCACTTAGAGATCTTCCCATAAAAGTTTACAATTCTTCATTGTATCTTTTTGAATGCAGCACTTTGACTGGAATGTTGTGTTGAGTCTTTCAAACAACTGATCTCACCATCTTGCATTGAGTAATGATTTTATTTTCTTACCCTCCTGACTAGAGATGCATCGTTGATGGCTATGAGAAGGCGTATTGAAGGCTTGACACCAGAAGAAATAAGAAATCTTCCCCGAGATGAAATGCACATGCCAACAACTATGGAAGACTTTGAAATAGCTTTGAAGAAAGTTTCTAAATCTGTATCTGCTGCGGACATTGAGAAATACGARAAATGGATAGTTGAGTTTGGATCGTGTTGAGTTGTCTTCTCTCARAGAAACCACCTTATGTCTTAAAACTGCTTTAGAAGTAATCAGTGATATGTCAGTGCACTGCGTGCTCTTTTTAACTTTTGTAATTTAAGAGCAACAGATGTCTAAATAAATTTTTTTCTAAAATGCAAATTTTGCTTAGCTCTCTTTGAACTAGCTCAAAAGTCACCCATTTTTCTCAAAGGCTGATGGTATCTGCTTTGATTTTCAAGATTTTAAAATTACTTTAATACTAGAGCTCCTTTCATCAGAATATTTATTCTTGAAAAAATGCTGTTGCATCAATAAAGCCTCCCACACTAGCCCTGCTAAATGAGCCAGGGATGCTGAGAACTTGAAAATGGGGTGAACAAGATACAGTACACAGATACTTCTGGAAWGTTCTGGAGAATTCTGCCCTTAAACGGTTGTTAAGGAACCTGTGCARAGGCTGAGATGTGGAACAGCCACCCTTGCACAGCAGTCAGTGGAATCAATGAAGTTTGAGCAAAAGGTAATATCATCAGGGGTTCACAGTAGCTGTTAAATAATAWGAAAATRTATCCAGCTGGTATAACCTAAGTCCACGCAGCCAGAGTGATGCTGTCACATGTGTAGCTTCCTTGTTAGTCTGAGAAATCAAAAGCTTTCTGGCATTAATTTTGAAATATGTTTTACTTCCTTGACTGGTACTGCAAGTAGCAGAAGTCTAGACTGGTGGCTTGGGTCCTGGTTTACATGGTTATTCTGGTAAGGCTGTTCTGATAAGGCAGCATGTGTTGTGCTTGTGCTCACAAACCCTGACTTTACAGTTGATGTAAAATCTAAATTCTCTTATTTCGTTACTTAATACATGACATGTGGAAGCAATTATCTGCRAATGGTTCTGCAGTAACCAACCAGGTAATAAATTTTAGATTTTGCTGAACAGGGGTAATTGTAACTAAAACACGTGCAATTTATCAATCTACTATTTTGGAAACAATTTTTCCTTCTAGCTCCTCCCAGTGCAGCCAGCTGTAGTTCTGTTTATGGGTAAACTATGATTTTTCATGAATCGAATAGGACTTGTTTGAGCTGGAAGATACATGCTGTATAAAGCTGCCTGTGGAACTCCTGCTCATGTGTCTCTTCAGATGATGTAAGGTAGGTGCGAAGGACAACTGGTAATGCAAAGTTGCAGCCTGAGTAGGAGGCAAGTGCATCTCAATGACACAGCTGAGTAAATGCCATTATTGTGAATATCTTGTTCATGTGCCTGAAATTCATCAGTGTGTTGTGAGTGACAGCTGGACATGCGGGAAGGGGACTTCCAGCACTGTCAGTGGTGAGAGGCTCTAGTAGGACACTGAGATCTTGTGAGAGAGCTCCTGAATCCCCGTGTGAACCTGGCACGATGAATTCAGAAATGAAAGGAAAAAGTTGAGGCAAGTATAGAGGTGTGTAAATTTATAGACTTCCATTTCCAGAGTGGAAAACTACTTTCGGATAGCCGTATGTGTCACAGTTAATAAAAATACACAAATTTTCAATATGTGRGTTCTCTTAATTTTCTGTTTGTATGTTAGGATGAGAGTGTAGCTGTCAGCTGTTGTTGCAGGAGGAAGTTACTTCTAATTTACTGCAAACCTAAAATACTGAGTCTRTGCACCGTGTAAGAAGGGAGAGTGGGTAAGTTTTGGTCCTTGGAAGCAGTAAGGGGCCGCTTTGACTAAGTATGATATATTTTGAGAACTTTGGAAGTAAATTTAAAAGCAGTAGTTTAGTTTTCAATCAGCTCTGTTCCCTCTGAATGAATAAAATTAACATCTCTGTGGTATGTGGTACAGGGAAGAAAAGATACAGAGGCTGAATTTGTACCTCAGAGGTTCATTTTGGTTTGGAACACTGATAGATGGTTTTGAAGACAAGGGCTGCAGTGAGAGCCGAACCATCGTTAGTGAGGAGATAGGTTTTGCTGTTCCTAAAAGTCTACTGCCATCCTACCAGGGATTTTTCTGGGTAGCTAGGTGCTATTGTTCTGGGTTTTTTTCCAGTTCCGAGCGCCCCCACATTCTTTCCCCTAGAGGGCACACGTGTCCTTACCAGTTCATGTCCTGGAAAAATGAGACCTACCATGACTGGCATGCAGGACAGTTGCCCTTTCCTTACTGTATTAGTTGGGTGAGGCAGTTTTTAAATTGGTTTACAAAATAATTCAGAGTGGTCCCAGCTCAGAGTAGCATTCCTCTGAAAGGTGCAAGACTCATGATTTGGGAAAAGTATGTGCATGCTAAAGCAGAAACACAAATGCTAAAAATTCTTTTAAGACTTGGTAACTCCAGCTCCATAAAGCAGCAGTCTTGTCTGGCAGTTACTGTGTTCAAGATTTGCACTATTTTTAGACTTTCTGATGGTGAGTGGTACTTCTTTCCTGGTACTTTGTAACTTCGCAGAAATCAGCCAGGTTGTGAAGCAGTGCCCACACTTTTTCAGCCTTAACCATGTGTTTGTTGCAGCTGTGCAAAATCTCCTCGTGGCTGTGCAGGTGCTTGGTTTYCAGTTTCATAAGGAGGGATGCAAAGAGCACATGCAAACAGCTGCTGAGTTTCCATCTGCAGCACAATTCYTACTGTGCTTGCACACTAAAGGAGAACTGTTCTGTTTCTTTTCCATCCTATTTTTTTCCCCAGAAGAAGCTAACTTCAGCCTTGTGCATCACTTCTACTTGAACTATGCTAATGAAGGGGCCAAGGAATATCCACATATAGAGAAGTTTGTCTACARCTGTTTAAAGACTTGCTCATCTGTGCAGTCACCATTCCTCTGCTAATCCTAGCAGTTTCCTGTTCAGCCATGGGTGACAACCCTTCTGCCACCCACAAGGTACTAGAGCAAAAAATAAAATTAAAAAACAAGGGAAATTTGAGCAGTGTCCTCACTACCTTGGGCTGATGTGGTGTGTACCACACTGCATTGCTGGGTGGCGAAGTTTGGTTCAGTTTTTTTTTTACAAGGCCAAGGCAGTGTTAGAAATGTTCCTTTCACCACTGCAATGCTGTCAGCTTAGTGAGACAATGAGAGCTGATCCTGCCACAGAGCAGCTGTAAGGGCCAGCATGTGAGTAACCTGGATCTCATTAAACTTATGGTAACATTTCTTTAAGGCAGGARGAGGGGGCATCCCAACTTTTCTCCCTCACTATACCAACTTCAGCTGAAYACGGGTAATTCTGATCACTCAGATAACTCTGCTCAGTCTAGTGCTAGTTACAGTTTTTTTTCTATTCATTCTTCTGACAAACAATTTTTGTAAGTAAGAACAATGAAAAGCTAAGAAACAGTGCCCTGCATCTGAAATGTTTCGCAAACTGCTGTTTTACCTAACTATAAATGAACACGTGAACACAGTCTAATAAACAATTTAAATGTTTATTTGAAAAATGTTAACAGTACAAACCGGCATGAGCAGACTGGGCCTACTCAGCAATAGTAAGCCATTATTTCTGTAGAATTTAAGATAATTTTAATTTTGGGTCTTCATAGATGACTGCTGTCACAGATACAAAAAGCAAGCTGGTTACAACTGCTAACAATTTTTATGAATCGAGGGGACCATAAAAATGTAAAGTGCTTGAAATATAAATCTGCCTTTTAAATTTTTATTTTGCATACATAAAATGTCAATTTTTATGCCTAATACAAATGYTTGGTAGTGGTATCTTCCTTGCAAGATACATTCGACCCTATGAGACCTGGAACCAGGTGGGGCATCTTTGCTTAGGTTTGCAGGCACAGCTGATGTTTGCAATATTTCCTCATCTTTTTCTGAAGAACGCTATCTGTGGATTTAAGGACACCCTGAATTTCATCATCTTGCAGGACAGATGACTTGGTTTATCTCTGGGCATGAAGGCAGCCAGCATCCTGTCTGAGGCATGGAAAGTGACTTCACAGAAGTTAAAACCAATGGTAGCCTTCAGGGTGGAAAGCTGCTCAATTTTGAAGCTTCTGAAAAGGCAGCTGTTCTATTTTGAAGCTTCTGAAAAGGCTGCTTGTTTATGGAGAGGCACAAGGAAGTCAGCTTTGGCCCTTGCCCTGAGTGGCCCTTTATCAATCAATCAACTGACTTGGTTTTCTTAGTAGGAAACAAACAAGGTATTCAGAACAGGTGCCAAATATCAGATCAACTAAAAGTGTGTTTTTAAAAAACAGTAACTCCAAAGTAAATACAGTATTAAGTACATGCTTTCTCATCTAAATTATTTTTCCTCTCTGAAAGTTCTGAAGGCAGGCTGAGGGTAGTCACAGGTACAAAGCTGACTTGATCCAGGAGAAGAATGCCTCTGAAAGGTAAGGTTACTTGGCATTAGAAAACAATACACAAAAAAAATCTGTGTTCTAAAGTCAGACTTAATCCTAAAGTCCCCAAATTTAGTTTAAATCAATGCATCAAGTGTTACCCTCACTTTTACATGAAGCCACAATGAAAACTGCTTCCAAAATGTACTGGCTATGGTTTCTGAGGGCTCTCTTTGCCCAGTTTCAACATCTGAAATGTCAGCAGTGTAGGTTCTATATGCTCAGTTTAATAGTAGCTTTAAAACTGTCTTCTGTCAGACCTACAGCTGATACTCCCAAGACTTTGCTACCACCTCTAGTTTTATCAGTGTAATGTAGAATGGCATTAAAGATTTGGGACAAGGTCCTGACTCACATATGCAACTGCGTCACTCACCAGATGAGATGTTCTGCTCATTCCTRTTGGTTTACAATCGTGAATTAAACCTTGACCATTTTTCACAGGACCACTTTACACAGGTAGCAAGAAGGTAAGAGTGTGGTTTAGGGGTTRGGTTTTTTTGGGTTGGTTTGGTTTTTTTAAGTGGAGGAGGCAGTTCCAATTTCTTTAAACACCCTAACAAGGCATGAACAAGCCCCATATTCTCCAATTGGAAGAGAAATTGCTGCAGGTGGGTTCCTGTGCTCTGTACTGACCTCTGCTATGGACAGGCCATCAGATACTTTGAACAGGATGTTGGGATTAGAATTTTCTTCCTCGTTCCATTTAGTTCAGTTTCAAATGTGTCAGTGTTAAGCTACTTCCTGCCAGTGGTAAGCTACTTAATTCTGGGGGAAGTACAGTGTTTTTCACTGTTTCTGCTCTAACCAGTGAAGTCCTCCTATCTGGCAGCACCCTGTGTGAAATGTCAGGGGACGCATTGCCTCTTGGTCACCGCAGTTTCCAACCTTCCTGATCTTTCAACCCTCCATTTTTCTAGTTTGTCACTCATACTCCTGAGTGGATCCATAATTTAAATTAACTGCATGCAGGGCCATTCAGAGGCACAGCTGATCAGCTGCATTCACTGAAGACATCCGCTGTGCTTGGTGCTGACAAAGCACGCTGCACAGTCAGTCWCTTCCCATGGAATATATTGTTCCAGGGGGAAGGTCTTCCAGAGCTGATTTAGTTTGCTTTAAAGTGCACATGCTTGCCCATTCCAGCACTAAATCTACATTCATTTATTGCTTGCAGTTACTAATTCATCTCCCTGCCCCTTGTTCTGAGACTCTGCTTTCCCAAAAAATCTTAGTTTTTGCTGGTAACACACCAAGTGGATACAGCCATTGCAGGCAATCAGCTTTATTTGTGGCCTCTTGCCATCAATGCCAGCACCACTCCCTATGGCCTGGGAGCTGCCTACAGAGGTAGGTCCCCCTTGGAGAATTCCCATGCAAATTTGTGAAGCCAAATTTGAGGCCTTTCAGAACTACTATAAAACTCCAAYACAGTAGGAGTATTAAAAGATTTGGAGATCTTGGAATTGTTCAGCTGTAGTTTCTACCCTCCTCTCTTGGAACTATGTTAATACTGTCTCACAATGTAGTCCTTAGAAGACTTGATAAAAATTTGGCAGTATGACAGCTCAGCTAAAGACATTTCCAGTGAAATATTTTCCCATATTTCTCTGAAATGCCTGAGTGTCAAAAGTGCACTTGGAATGGAAAGCTAACAGTAGTTTTTTTCACTGAATTGTTGCTATGCTTTTCCAACAGAGTGGGGCTGAAAGAACATCTTCTTGAAAGATGTTTTTAAATCAATGTTTTGCATTCATCACAGCAAAAAAATAATTACAAAAATTACTTACTTTTTTTCACAGGAAGGGAGAATCACTTTTAAGACTTTGATAATAAGAGCTGCTCCAACAACTCCAACAACAACAACTTCCATGAAACTAAACAAGATTGGTAAAGACTGAAACCAGAATCTGCACAACCCTTTCCTCAAGTCTTCCACCCACTGGCACATCACCTACAAAACAGGTAAAAATACAAAGACAGATTGTGAAACAAAGCAACTGCTGGTTTTTTTGGGTTTTTTTGTAGCTACGGGTAAAATCAAATTACATGGTGATAATTTTACTCAAACTCATATATGCTTAAACATACATCAAAGAATGATGGAATTGACTGGTGGCTCAGAACTCTTTATTCTTCAAAGTTTGAAACAGGTGAAGGTYTAGTTCTCTGTTCATTTAAGGCCCCTTTGGAAAATCAAAGACACTTGAACAAAGTGGGCAGTAGGTTATAAGTGTGAGTGTTTTGGCCACAGAGGTGGCCAGGAAGGCCATCCTTGCCTAAGCTGGAACTGGAACTTCTTCTGCTGTTACTGTGTTTCCTCCAGCAGGTMCATTTCTCAGAGGGGTAAGCACTTCAGCAGTCAGGAGAAAATGCTGTAATTTAAAGCTAAGCAATATTTGAAATTGTCATAAATGCTTAGCTCGGTATAATGTAAATAGCACAACTGACTATCATGACGTGGTCAGAACATTGCAGGATTTAGAAGCCCACTGGATTCCTACTGGACATGTCATGCTGAAGGGTAATTTAGGAAGGGGCGTTTTTTTATTTGGGAATTGTATAACCACAAAAGTCCATTGGTCTTTCAGTGGTTGTCTGTCTTTACAYTAATATTAYACCAAATTATATACTATATTATACTAATATTTATATACTGATAATTATACAATAAAACAAGCAAACAAACAATAAGAGCACCTTGTATGAAGATGGAGGTTCTACCCTAAGAGGGGTCTCCGGTAATTTTCCAGGTAATGTYTCTTCATCTACTGTAGTTTCTACTTGCTGGATGAGGTACTGACTGGTAGTTTGCAGTGGATCTTGAATATCTGAAGAACAAAAGCTAGATTTAGTGGACAGCTTGCATTTTATTTGACTAGTCAGAATATAGACATGCTGCATTTCTCTACTTGTGGTACAGTTCTCACACATTTACAGCAAGAACACAGAAGGCTTTTTTTTTTTTTTTTGACTTGAGTAGTGAACTTGATAAGAAGCAGAAACAGTGTTACATTGCAGCCTTTAGYTATGCCCTTAGCTGTTAACTTAAGCTGTTGACAGATTAAAAGGTGATGGACTAGATMAAAAAATTCTACTCCAATTAAATCCTTGAGAGTTTCTGATTAAACAAAACTGAAATAAAAYTAAGACATCAAATGACTTCTCTTGCTTTAAAGTTATTCAAGTTTAATAACAGAAAACTGTTCTGTGGTTTGGAATTGACCCAGACAGGTATTTCCTCCACAGTTTTCTCTTTCACTCTCAGGAAAAAGGGGGAGCTTTAGAGAAACTTCCATCMTAAATCTGAGAGAGAAATTTATTCCTGTCAGCTGTCTGGATTGCAGACTGCCAAGTATTAAGTACTTCAAAGGAGAACAGATTTGAAAACAAACAGATAAAATACCTAATATGAAGAGTTGAATTTAGGTGTTTAAACAAAATAAAAACCAAACCACATAAAATAAACCACTTCCCTGTTAATGAAGAAACTGTTTTACTTTGTAAAACAAGGGAATAAAGATGCTCTTTTACCCTGTAAAGCAATACATCAAATATGGATGAAAATGCTACTTAACAGCTGAGAGATACCTTTTCCTGAGAGRTTGGGCAGTGTRAATARCACRTCGTTGTCCCTTGGCATGGAATACAGCATGCTCTCTTTCAAAGGGACGGTGTAGTTGGAATGTCTAAGTACTCTCAGGTCCTTTAYTAAAATATCTATTTCTGTTACTTCTTCCTGCTGAACCTGCAAGAGATGCAAACMGGTTGATTATCACTGAGTTTAAAGCAAGACTGAATCAGGCTGACAGASGACACCGGTACATCCCAGAAAACTCCAAGCCTCTAAGCTGTAGACACAGGGCTATTATAACATGAATTAGTACTCTTTGTTTTGACAGACTACACTTCTGTAGACCATGCTACATCAGAAAATATGCTCAACAGACTGAGTCTCTCTCCCTGAAATAGCACATAGTAGTCACTCCATGGCCTTTTAACCAAGTCTTACATAGTACATGACTATCCTCTTGCAGGGAGGTATTTCAGGGAATGGAAAACTCAAGTGTGTAGTGAAAGCATTTGTAAACATTCACAGTGTTGCTAAGGCAAGACGGACACTTCTGCTTTTGCAGGAACATTGCTTTTTTCAACAACTGAAAGCAGTGTCACAGCATTTGACAATGTGCTTGACATCCTTGTCTCCCAACAAGAGAGACATGCACTTGACAGATGGACCAGGTGGTGGATAAGGCACTGGCTGGATGGYTGCCCTCTAGAGAATTGCAGTCAATGGCTCAAGATCCACATGGAGATCAGTGACAAGTGGTGTCCTCAGGGATGGGTATGTGCACTGTTTAACAACTTTGCTGGCAAGAWGGACAGTGGAACTGAGTGCACCCTCAGCAAGTTTGCTGATGACASTGTGTGGTCAAGCTGCTGAAGGAAAGAGATGTCATCCAGAAGGAGCTGAACAGGCTTCAGAGGTGGAAGTTCAAYAAGGCCTCATSAAGTTCAACAAGGYCAAGTGCAAGGTGCTGTACCTGGGTTGGGGCAATTCCAAGCACAAGTACAGGCTGAGCAGAAAATGGATAAAGGGCAGTCTTGGAAAGAAGAACTTGGAAGTGTTGGTGGATGAAAAGCTCCATATGACCTGGCAATRTGTACTCACRTTCCAGAAAGCAAACTGTTCTRGGCTGCACCAAAAGCAGCRMGGYCAGCWGGGTGAAGRAGGTGATTCTGCTTCTCTACTGTAYTTATGTGAGGCTCCTTTCATTAGCATTAACTCTCTGGTTGCTTTTACCAGCTCYCTATGAAAATCTGAAATGCACTGTGATGTCTAGTTTGAGACCTGAAACACAATGCCACTGTTGTGTAACAGTGAATCAAATCAGGATATCTTAGGCTATCACCAGTTGGATAAAGACCTCACTCGAAAAGCTACAGACCTCTTAGTGGGACTTTTCACTAACAGAATAAGAGTCTGACATGATCCAGATCCCTGTAAAAAATACTACATGCTGACCATGCAATTAATCAAGGATCAATGGTATTATCATTATTATCCTTAAAAAAAAGAAAAAGGCAGCAGAACATAAGCCAGCTTCAAAAAAGCCTGGCCACATGTAAGATGCAGACGTGTAGAAACAGCAATATGACATAGAAATAAGCCAGTTGCTGGCTTTAGCAGCTGTATCTTCTCTACAGAACCTCTTCAATTAGTAAATCAACTTACACCATACAAGTGATTTTAAGAACTCAGTTCTGCACATTTCAATATCAGCTAGAATTGTAACCCCTCATGCTCACTGGTATTTGTGCAAATACTGTTAGAATTGGAGGGGTGGAGGTGYTTGTTCATCTCAAAATCCATCTTCATTATCAAGATTCAAATTATCTTACATGCAAAATATTTTAAGCCTACACTCTTAGGTGTAGTGGGCCTTCACTATAAGCCCACCAGCCATTAAGTTTCCTGCTGCAAGCTATTTCTCATGTTACATGCTTGAAACCTTTTGTTAGTTTGGCATGAGCAGTGGGGAAAACCTCAGGACTCAGAATGAGCCAATGCCCCTTTTGTTTGTTTTGTACAGTATTTTATAAGTTAAGTCTCACTTATGAGTCTGACTTTGCTTGCACAAGTTCACTTATTCACAGTGTATGTGATACAGTTAATGATAATTATTAAAATATGAATAGAGGCATTACAACTTGAAGCTTATTCATGAAACACCCCCACTATTATACTGCCAAGTCTGCTGTACTCCCTCAGTACTGTGTTAGCTAACATTAATTACACACTTTGTGCTCTAATCACCAGCCAGATCCATGTAAACCTTTTAATCCTTGGGAACTATTTGCCTCTCCTAAATTAAAAACAAGGAAAATGTTGTAGCAGGGCTTTTTTTTACCTGTTTTCCATCAATTTCTGTCACTTCTTCCTGAATGACAATCAGCTGCAAATCAGAAGTGGATGCCAAAGGCCACTCATGAACCATGATGCGAACACGGACAGTTGCCAGGCGCTGCTGATCCGGTAAGTTCTCCACGCTTCTGTTCTCCACTGTTARCACACAAAGTCACAATTTTCAAAGAGAAACCACCTCAACCAGAAAGCAGTACCCAGCCATACGGAAAACAGGTGCAACTCTGATGTAAATGCCATTGCACATGTAGCACTTTAATGGAGAGTCAGAGGACCACTGGTATCAAASCAGAGATGCCAGAATAGCAGTACAGAATTCTGAACCATTTTTATGTCCTTAATGTTTTTACAACCACTACTAATCTGGGCAACAAGTAAAACAGATGCCATGATTCTTTTACCAGTATATSACCAAATAAAACACAGCAGAGCTGTACAATCCTGACTCAGGGAGCCTGCAAATGACATTGCATCTTTGCCTTCAAGGTTTGCTTTTAAGCACCCTAATCAGAGAGCTCTTTGGCTTGGTTATTGCTGCATTCTTATTTTAGTTGTCCAAAGGAGCTCATAAGAGTAATGCCACAGCCTAGCCAGCCACCTGTGTAAACATCTTGGTTTGCACAACATTCTCCTTCTTCTGAATACAGCAACGAATACGCTCTTTTTAAGGCACACTGCMTCTACTGCTCAAAATGAGTGCCAGTTCCCTCCTACATATTTTTCTGTCCCCCCACTCTGTTTTCATATGTGACGGATGACACCTCAACCTCTCTTCCTACCCAAAAGCTTTCAGCTATTTCAACAGTTTAATATTACACAACTACACACAGAACTGCCTTTCTACCATGGCTATTTTTGTAAAATCTTAGTATCCTTCTCCCAACTACCACACCTCTACTTCAGGTGAGGGCATTCCAAAACCAAAGTGCTGGAGAAGCACAAGAGTGGACGTGAAGGATTTCTTCAGCATGGAGGTAGCAAGGGACATGAACTGAGATCAAACCACCCCAGTTGCTAAGGCACTGGTGCTGTGTGTGTGTGTCACCTGCAGTGCTGGGCCTGAGGTAACGTGGGATAAGGCTGGACTTGGGTCTCTCAGTCACACAATAACTACTCAGTGTTATTTTTATGCTATGATCCCTGTCCTCATAAAGCTATTTTTCTGATTTTAAATTTAGAAAACTGCTTTTTGGCACAATTTAGTTATGTCTTTCACTGCAAAAATAAGTGACAGAAAGAGAGAAAGTTCCCTACAGGTGTGAGCCAGAGCACTACCCTGGTTGCTGAATGTTTTCTGACTCAGAGCAGCAAGCACACATTAAAGGCCCAAAGCCTCTAAGATGCCAAGCAACAGAAGCTCCTGTGCTCCCAGCTTTTACTGTGTGTCAGGCCATTCAACCACCACTACATTCACAGAAGTGACAGATACACTTCCAAAACTGACATATATAGGAACTTCAAGTAGGGATGTAGGTGCCAAGTGTGATCTGACAAYGATGTCAGAGTATGTGGTCTCTAATACTCAAAAGCATGACTATTAAGGTCAGGTTTTGTTGTTATATACATTCAGGAGTATTTCCCCTTTCTATTAGCAAGTATCTTGATATTTCTTTAGCATTTTACAAATACTACCTGAATCTGTTGTCAAGAATTTAGTAAGTAAATGATGTAAACATTATATTACAGGTAACAGARACAGGTACTGTGCTGAGGACTCAGCACGTCAGACTTTCCGATGTGGAAATAGAATTCCAGGTTTCTAGGTCCTAGGTCAAACCACTATTTTTCTCACTGTTTTAGATTCAAAACTAGTCACTGCAAGCTATTCAACTATGATTTGGGAAATCAATAAAGTAAAGTGCTCAGGAGCTCTTAGAATTAGTCAATAAAATCATAGCTATTTTTCTGAGTGAGTGATTTTGCAAGTAAATAACATTTTGCCATGTTTTTTCTTACCAGAAAAGGAGAAATTGATTACTGCTCTCTCTCTCCAGAAGAGAAATACTGTCAAATTAATAATTGGTCATGCTTGGGAAAGAAGGGTTCAAGCAGCAAGGTCATGGCTTAGAGAAACAATTTGAAAAAGTGTTAGTATTCTGTAAGTAAGTGCATAATGACGATGACCTCAGAAATCAACCTAGAGATTGACTGCATCTGATCCATCAGGAGATCRTTCTCAATACAACAGAAACTTAAATAAGGATAAAGGTCTTTGCTTAATTAATTATGCAGTATAGTCTGTGTATCTGCAAAAAAAACCACAGTACTTTCCTTTTTTTTTCACAAAAAATGTAGCACTGAATCAGAAAAAAAACAGCAGTTTCTTGGCAATTTGAAGTCATTAACTGCTGCAGGACCCTAGTAAAAGTGCACTRTTTGTGCTATAATATCCTATCCAGCAGAAACTTGTTTGTCCAATAGACACASAAGTGAGATCATTAAAAAATCTTCCTAACAACAATTCATACTTTTGTTATTGAATCTCCTTCTGGATATATGCCAGCCAACCTAGGGACACAGCCATTAGCAGGGTGGAGTTGCATCCTTCTGTTTACATTGCCTAGCTTGTAGTGCAAAACATTCTTTTGAAAAGATGGGCAGAGCCTTGATTCCAGATTASACCATTTACACACAAGCTTGTGAATGTGACTTGAGATGAAGGCAGTAACATTTTGTTTGATCCATTTTAATAGCAAAATTGTCCTACCTTGGGAAATCATTTGCTTCTACAAAGCTCAGGTTTGCAGAGTACAGAACACATGGTAATTGTAAGCTTTGGTTACCAGATAACAGGGAAGCCAAATAACCCGGGGAAAGAAGGAAAATTTAAAAACAAAAAGGAAAAGAGAATACTCACMTATTATTGTTTGACACGTTATGTGGGCAACTCCACTTTTCATAGGAAAATCATTTAGATATACCTGTCCATTAACATAGGTGATATTAAAAAGAACCTGAAAGAAAGACAGCCAGAATGAGTGTATGTTTCTTGCCCCTATGCTGCAATTCTGCTCTCAGAGGAACAACTTCATACTGACTGACGTCAGAATAAAGTATATTTTTGCAGCTGCYGCAGACTTTGTTCTGCTGCATATTAATTCACTGAATAAATAGAAAAACCGGACAAACCTGTCCTTTGTGAAATTCTCCACTGCTGTTCAGCATCGTAACACCAACTCTGATTGCTTCCTGAAAAAAAAACAGTGAGAAGAGATGTAACTTTAAGGAAACACATAAGCCACTGCAGGCAACTTTCAGGTACTGTCCAGGCAGAAGGACTAAGTACTAACCCCAGAACGCATTGCCAGGCTTTCTATGCAGCAGACAGAAGAGAAAGAAATATGCTTTCTTGTTTCACGTGAGCATTAGTCTGGTTTTTTCACCCCTCTTTTTAATAAAGAGGACTGATGAAAAAGAATGACATCTGCATCCCCCATGTATAGTTTGTGGAGATTCGTAACAAAGATGAAATAATAACAATAACAATAATAACAACAATAACAACAACAACAACAACAACAACAATAATAATGATGATAATAATAATAATAATAATAATAATAATAACAACTTGTTTCACAAGAATATAATGAAAGTCTCTCATATTAGCTGAAAAAACAACAGACCACAGGAGGTAAAAATCAGATTCTCTTTAAATGTTTTTTAAGCCCTCCTGTCAGTCTTCAAAGTGAAGTTTAATACATGTTAGTCTATAGTAAAGTACATTCAGTTTTGTCACTGTCAGCAGTAATCCTGTTTCTTTTCYTTGATTATCATTTCCCAAATTGCATCACATGGCACACCTCAAACTCACAGCTTATGAGGATTTGCTTATTTCTTTCAAACCCTAATTGCTGTAGTTTATTGAATCACTCATTCTRTCCTCTCATTTCTCCCTTGTAATTTCAAGGGTAGCTTTGGACATGGGACCTTAAATGTTCCAGGTCTGCACATGAAAAAAACTACATACAAAAGTCARATCTCTTGCACATAGCCAAAAGTAATGATTGCCACACTGCTTTCCTCAAGACATCTCTTCAAAAATAACATTAAACTCCCTATTTGCCTTGTGGGAGCCGCAAATTATTACAACTTCATTTCATTAACACCTGCACATGGCATTCAGTGCTGTGGTCTAGCTGACTGGTGGTAGTTGGTCAAAGGTTGGACYCRATCTTAGAGGTCTTTTCCARCCTAAATGACTCYGTGATTCYGTCATCCAATTTCCTCTGAAAATGTTCCTTCAACATCTTCTTTAGCTCTGTAGTTGAGTCATGGTTTCACAACTAACAGTTTAAAAGTAGGTCACATCTCAAAAAAAGGTTGAATGTGTTTAGAATATAAGATTTTTAAAATATCTAAATATATAAAAAGACTTTTCACTTAGGATTTTTACAACACTAGATTTTCAGCCAGAAAACWCATGAAATAAACAGTACCTAGCATAATACTGTACCGTATACTCTGTTCATAAACAGAGAGCTTCTGAAGTTTGACTATAATGTCAAAAAATCATTGAAACAATGAGTGTTCACGAGCATTCTCAGGTAGCCAGAACTGCCAAAAACTGAAAAACAACATTCATATCTGATTCAGCTGGAAACTAGCATCATGAGAAGAATGGTTTAAAACCTAACACAGATAACCCTTGGGTAGGAAGTRACTTGGAAATGCTTCAGATCCATTTGCCATATCAGCAGGAAAGCTCTCTGGCCACCAAGACCAAAGAGAAATCTCTTCCTCAATAAAACAGGTTTTTATATTGACTTTTCTTCAAAACTTAAATTCTAGTTATTCMAAGTAAATTAATATYACCASAACTGAAGTCTATAACTGAAAATATAAACCGGMTTAACAGTATAAACATAGGATSTATTCTATYCTGTCTTTCTGTAATTTCCTCAAACAACTTATTTTCTTCCTATACTTTAAGAACTGTGTATATTAATAATAAAAATACATAAAATTTTTAGATSTTTTAGCATTCAGAACTTGTATGTCTTTTACACTCTCAAACCATTTAATATCTTACCAAAACTTCTTGTCATTACTTTCTAAGTTTTTCTGTTTTCTGGGAATTCAAAGGGCAMAAGACATGGATTTTCCAGGCAGTCCTAACAGTCATTCATTCTTTAAGCCACAAATTACATTTGAGGGTGTTTTTTTTTTTACAGAGAAAGTATTTTGCAATCTTTTTTCAACATCTACAAAGCGACTCACTGAGATGACAAGAAAAAGGAAATGACTGATGAAAAATAGGAAAACCCCTCCTACTTTATTTTTTTTAATCAAATGATTCATTTGAAAGTGAAGGGCATAAAGCTAGATATGCTCAACATTSACTTATAAAATGTACAAAGTGAGCTAAATATGCAATTACTATTTTCCTTCAATTCTGTGGAAACAGTATCCATAAGCACTRTCATGAATTCTGGAATACTTAAAACTTGCACCGAAGAGCATGTTACATGTTTAAGAAATTAAATATTTCAGTGGATCACTTCTGTGCTGTCAAAGGTTCAAAAATYAGATCATCAAGTGCAGACAAATAAGACAGTTTAACCACTCACTGCCTCTGCCACTGAGAGTGCAGATCTCTACTGCACAKCATCCCTCTCATTCGTGCCAAGTCAGTGAGGTAATTTAGCTCATTAAATCAGTACAAAACTTCTCCCTGGTTTTTTTTTTCCTGTCAATTTGAACAAGCAAGTAAGAGCCAGACAAGTGCAAGGAAGAGCCAGACAAGCACAAGAGATCCAAGAATCGAGCTGGCAGGAATGAGCCGGGCTCCTTGTTCTGATGGGCACAGACTGTCAGATTGCCTCTGCTGTGTGCTCTGTCTGTCCTTGCAGCATCTCCTTGGGAGATGTCTGTCCTCGCCATCATCTCAGGTGATGGGGATACATCTCCTTAATGGTACAGGCTCATAAAGCTCCTCAATAACTCAGAGCAATGATTGATACTCCGCTACAGCAGCTGTATCATGACCCTTGCAATTTTGTGTTCACAGCCAACAGAGAATTCACATTGTTGCCATTCCTGTTACTAGTCTGTTCATATCCAGATCCAAAAAAATTCTACTGATCTCTTCCCCTATTCTGTACATCCATTCTACTCAGTTGTCATATRTTCTTGTTTTGCCATTTATGAACAGGTTGTTCATTACTCTTCACGTTCACATGGAAAGTGACAGTGTTCCAACTCAACCTTAATCCCTCCTTGAAGGTGAGTTTCACACTGCTGTCTCCCCATGGCTTCCCACTGGTCTCTCCTACAGTGTCACACTCAGAACTCAATGGATCCTGCTGTGGCCAATCTTCATGACCCTACATACCCCATACCAAAACCTACAGGATGGCAAAARCCACAAGATGCATTCCAAATGCAATGAGTGGTAGGCAGGAGTGCTGGGGGAAAGGAAGCYGCTCACAGGAGAGCAGAGCACTATCCCGGCTGATCCACTTTCACCCTCAGCAGGGAACAGGGGATGGATGGCACTCCCCTTCTTATCACAAGCCTGACTAAAACCCCTTCAGTATCTCCACCTAGGTAAGTGCTCAAGAGCCATACATTGTTTATACCTACTAAATGTGGAGGGAAACAGACATGGCAGGCCAACAGCCCTTGTACCAGGCTTTCAAGATGAAATGCCTGGTCTGACATACTACACTTGCTAGAAAGTGCTCAAGTGATAACTCAAATCCCCACCTTTCCAGTCCTAAGGCTGAAGACTCAGAGACCTATAAAACATGCTTTAATTTCAACAGGGAATTTTTTTAATGTTACCATAGTAAAACAACTCGAGGGAGAGGCGGGAAGAAGGCATTTTATAGCCCATTATCGACATGTCTTGTGGCTATGTACTTCAGTGCTAAGGAAAGTAAATAACCCCACATCTCTTATTTTGTAAAAACATAGTAAGCAAATCCTGCAGTAACACAGACACTGAGAGCAGGACATGGGTCCYCTGCAGTAATCCATAATACGGGACTGTCAAGTTCTGGAGAAGCCTGAACTAGCAGTGTAAAACTTGCTTCTATAACTTTCAATATACTTTTCAGTATTAAAAGTATCATGAAAGTTCRCACAAATTTCAGACAGTTCTGTAATTTAAAAGGTTCTGAATTCCTTGGAATATTTTAAAAAGCAGCACTTTGACAGTGCCAGGATGAAAGGACAGTCCCAACAAGCAATTCAGGTCCCCAAAAATCAGGGTATGCTTTCAGCTCACCACTGACACCTGTTCCATACTTCACAGCCCCTTATCCCTTCATGTGCTGGTAAATGCCTTCACACAAAACTCCCACCTGCACTGAAAATGCAGATTTTCTTTCTTAATGCTCTGATAGGAATGTAAATGTCTCTCGTGAGTTTTCCTATGATTTCTCATCCCTGTTTTAGTGYTCTAGCAATGATATTTACAGTGGTAATGGCCACTGCAAAGAGGACAGCATCCCTAYCACMAATATAAGTMATTCTGTTCTAGGACAGMTGAACAGTGTRATGACAYACATTACAGTRAACTAGGGAACTTTTGTGAGCTTGGATCAGCAGAAGTAAAAAACTAGAAAACTATTTTCTAATAGCTTTCTCTTTCATTGTGTGCGGCAACTGGACCCAGGACTGTTAACTGGGGCAGTATAATCACAGTAGCAGCAGAAGAACAAGAAGGGAAAAGATGTCAACAAAGAACATAAAGCAGCTGGCATAAGTTAAAAGGGAATATTCATTAATTCTCAAAGACTAACTTCACACAACTCTACAGAGAACATATCACCTAATATTGGGGTTTTTTTTATGAAAAATGCTGCACAAGACAAAGCTGATGGGTCTAATCACGCAGGAACTTCAAACAGATCTGATTATCTGATTAAAGAATCATGGAAAAACCTTTTCCAAAGGCAGTGAGTACCTGATGGGGTGCACTGTGTGGTTTCTCCCAGTACACGGTAGCTGTTAAGCTCTACACAACTGCATCAGTCACATAAACCCCATCTAGATTCAGCTGCTTGCAGCCAGCCCACTTGAAGCACAAGTGTTCTCTATTGAGGCTCTCCAAACAAGGCTCTTTCTGCACTACAAGGCCTGTRGGAAGGCACATGAGCAGCCCTAGGAACAGATGGCACAGTGCCTTGCAAGATGGCCAGCTGTACAGAGACTTGAAAGGCAGAGAATCCTCTCACAGCCATTACACAGGYACTGCTGGGATATCCTGTTTGCAACTGAGAAGTTCTAAGTCCAAGGCAGGTCACCAAACAAAAAATAGACAAAACTAATAACTTCTTTCTAAACTGGAGAAGAGATTATGGGAAAAGAAGTGTTTGAATAGACAAACAAAACTACCATACAAACTCATACCAYTTGTCCTGGCACTCAACTGGCTCCAAACAGTGTAACTATATTATTGCAATCCAGAGCTCCATGATCCATGTTTCACATAATTTGTTCATAAGAATCAAACCAGAGCCTGGTTGTTGTTGCAGGATGAGTCTTAACTGCAGTCAGGCATAACTGAATTGAGAAGTAAACATGGCACAAATTTGACTTGACAAGTTAGACTTCACAGGTTTGCAGGACAATAATTAGTCCCTCACATTTCACACAATTTTTGTACAAAATTTTCTCCATTAAGGTTTGGCATTATTAAGCTGCATGACAGTATTTAGGATAACTACACCCAATACTTGCTTAACTAGCTAAAGCTGAACTCTTTGTTAATATATCAATCTAACATGATGCCTCTGCATTCATTTCCTTCTCTGAACAAGAACACTTACATTCATACCTTCCTTGCTTTACAATGACTCTTATTGTAACATGGCTTACCCTTCCCTTCACCCTATGTATGTTACTAAAATGAATTGCCTTTGTATTCTTCCTATTAAACTRACTCACACTACATATTTTATTACGAGTTTTAAAGGTGAATACTCAGTCTCACATCACACGGTTGCATTATACTGCTTTAATTTAATCAAATATATATAGAAGGATGATGTCAGCTCTTTTCAGGCCTAAAATTCACAAGTGTCCATACGTTAATAGAGAAACTGGCATAAAGCAGTGGAAGGAACATTTCAGCATGATGCTATTAACAAGTTTCTTCTTTGATTAAAATACATTRTATTCAATGTATCAAATGGTTGATGTAGTGAGGATTATTTCCTGCTGTTGTGAAACAACCCATTCACACAAAGGTTTCTTGCAGCCAATAAATACTATGAAAACATTTATTTTTCAGGCAACTAAACTGAACTGAAAAGAAAAAAAAGTCTGGTAGGCAAGTATGTTATTTAGAAAGAACTCTGCTGGCTTAAATTATCAAGAGGTAAACAGAGTAAGCAAATAACATAGTGTTAGCATTGCTTTTAGCCAGTTCCTATCAGCACATTAAAAAAATACTCTAAAGCACAAAACCTTATTCCTGACCTTGCACCAGAAATATTACTTTAACATGAAGGTCAGTTGTCTTATTGCATCATTCCCTGTATTTTTTCAAAAGAAAAAAAAAAAGCCCAAAACAACAACAACCCCCCAATTTTGTCTAAAATCAACGAATTTTTAGTAGTTTTGCATATCCAAATTTTATGAGGAGAAATAAAAATCAAACCAGACATGCTAACGTTTAAAAAAAAGGTCCCAATTTCAAAACAGCTTTTTTAGAAATTACAAGTATTGCACAACAATTGAGGCGTTCACATTCCAGAGCTGAACAAAAGCATTTCAGCCTTACAAAATGCAATTCCAATGTTTCAAGGTTTTCCTCAGTCCTCCCATTATGGTTTCTGTAACACTATTGCSATCACCAAGGAGGTAAATTCCAATACTAGCTCGATTTCCATATGGAAGAACTACGAAATGTGAAGCTGTCAGTAGAGCGCAGCTAGTGAGAGTTTTAAGCACAGCTGTGGTGTCCAGCCAAAGCAAAGCTGAAGATATTGATGCTGTCTGGCCCCAACCAGYCTGCARTCCCAAGCCATTTCTGAGGAARCAACAGTTATTCTGAYYCCAYTGACCAYTGCCACTAAGATCACAGCATCTGAAGGCAACCTGACAGCATGGCATTCCTGCTSTGCCTATTCCCACTGCCCAGGTTCTTCTGTTCCAAACTAGCAAAACATGAGCTGACAAGACCACCTGAGCAGTATGGTACAAATGGACAAATTCAGCACAGCTGTGTCCACAAGGCATTACAGCCCCGTTCCTAATTCAAACCCTATTAGCATTCTAAAACACACCTGTTCTATTTCTGACCCAAAACTGCCTTATGTGGGACTGCCCCCGGCACCCCTGTGCCTCGCTCACGCTTTCACATACAAAGATAGCAGGCACAAATGTGCCTCTGTATCTTATAAAACTGCCAGCAGTGACAAATAACTTTAATGCTACCAAGCTGAAGTTTTGCTGTGGAAGTGTGCCAGTTTCTGGGTAGAAGGTGAGCAAGAGCATAGGTCTATATTACATTATTACTTCATGTGCCTTTCAGCAAATTCAAGCCAGCACTCCCTTTCTCACAGAATAATCAAAAGGGATTATATATATAATAAAGGGATAATCAAAAGTAGCCAAGGACTGAGCTCCCTCTGCTTTCTTTAGCACAGCTGACTTCAAGCATTCCAGCACATTTATAGGTGTCTGTAGATCTAGATCCCTGTTTTGAAATCAGAACTAAGGAGGTCTCTCTTCAAAAGCTCATATAGAGAAACAGAAACCAGGAAGTAAGGCCAGGAATTCTGCTTCGCAACACAGGATGTGGCAATGCCAGGCCTCCGTCAGGCTTTCTTGGAAATGTTTTACTTAAACTACRTTAATAAATAAGTAACTCTGGAGGGAACAAAGACATAATAAATTTGCTCACGTAACAGTAACTTAACATTGTCTAGACAAGTTAACTACAGACCCCTYACAACTCTTCCCTCTGTGATCTTACACTTTGGCTTCACAATTGCAACAATTTTAGAGGATGCATCTGATCACGACTCAAATTTAGGCAAAAGTACCCAGCTCTTCTGTAATACTGGAAGTCAGGGTTCACCTCGTTCTGTGGCACATCTTTTTATTCCCTCTGGAAAGATCGCCTAAGTAGTACCAGAAACATCCCTTCCACTCTTTTAAAAAGCCACCAAATTCAAAACTGATGTCACCAAGATACAGCATAGATATTGGAATRGAAAAACAGACAACGCAATGCTCTGTGTATTTATAGATACACACCAATACATCAAAGCCCTTTTCTCGGTTCGATTCAAGGGTAGGCTAGGCGCAAATGCGGACCTAACACARTGCATACTTCTACGGCACTGAACCACCGAGGTGTAGGTGGACAAGCCTGAAAATACAATATAAAACACATCTACATTGCACAGAAGTAACTATCTCCCCCTCCAGACCTGTCATATCCCGTACATTGAATCCTAAACAGACGAACCATCAAAGGGAGAGGGGAAACGCTGTCACCACGCAGCAGGGTCCGGCTCACCCCTGTGAGGGAGCGGGGCAGGGGCAGGGACAGGCAGAGGGACAGGGGCAGGGAGAGGGGCAGGGAGCGAGGAAAGGAAAGTGGCAGGAGCAGGCAGAGGGGCAGGGACAGTGGCAGGAGCAGGGACAGGAGCAGGGACAGGGGCTGTGGCAGTGGCAGGGCAGGGCAGGGCTGTGCTGGCCCCGGCGGTACCTGTCCCAGCGGCGCGGCCGGGCCCAGCAGCGCGGCGGCCAGAGGCGGCAGCAGCAGCGACAGCGACAGCGGCAGCAGCCCCCGACGTCCCAGCGCCGCCTCCATCTTGCGAGCCGGGAATTAAAACGAAGTGAAACATCAACAGGCGGGGCCGGGAGGAAGCGGGGGAGGCGGCGGGAGGGGGCCGGCCCTGCCCCGGCCCTGCCCCTGTCGCTGTCRCTGTCCCTGGCCGGGCACGGCCGCTGCCCGGAGATCCCGAGTGCAGCGTTGGTGAATGAGGCGTGGCCATGGAGCTGCGCCGACAGGAGCCCGTCACGCTTAATAGGCGATTGCAGCCTTTGAAAGCACTAAAATGAGTACCATGTAGACAGTGTTAATGTTACAGTGTTAATAACTGCAGCTGTGTGTGAATGGCCAGTGTGTATGTCGTGAGGCTCCCGTCAGGCGCCTGCTGTTGTCACCTGCTCTGCGACCCGGAGTAACACCGGGCTGAGCCCTCACACCACACTGCAGGAAAGGGGAGCAAAGCAAAGACGGGCAGGGTAACCCAGGAGGGAGCTGAAAGTCATCGGAAAGGAAGAAAGCACAAGAGAAAGTTGTCATGAGCTAGAGGTCATCATCCTAAAGCAGAGAGAAACTTAGTAGTGACAGTCAAAACCATTGAAGTGTCAGGCAAAGACAAAGAAAACAAGCTGGATCTCCAAGTCCTCCAAGTGGATTTGAAGATAAGAAATGTTTTATTTGCAACAAGAAAAATTGCCATTACCTATTAGGGAAATACCTCCCGGTGATATGAGTGGCAAATATATTAACATCTTATCCAGGGAGGTTTTAATACTGTCATAAATAAGCTGTCCTGTTGAAGCAATCTTTAATCTGATTTTATATTGCTCTGTGGCTCCTGATTGGCTGATAATGAACATAAATCATAAAACCCACAGAACTTAATATTTTGTATGCCATTTGCATTAATGAGACACTGATACAAACATCTGGCACAAGGTACAAGGCATTGGAAAATGAGGCCTGAGAGAGTCATATATTGTGAAGTCTGTTYCACACAAGTCCGTGCAACCTTCACATATTTAATCCCTAAACACMTTTATCATCAGCAGTTCCTATGGTATTAGAGACAGGGAAAAACAAAGCTGACTAATTGCCTTTGTARTATTCACAGAAGTCAGTAACATAAGAAGGGATAAAAACTGATAYCTTAATTTCCACCACCTCTCTTTGCCATCACCTAGTTTACCTAGTTTCTCTCATGTCTGTCCTTAAGGTTTTTTTTCAATATTTTGTTTTTGATCTATTGTGCTTGGTAAACTGAAAACAATAGGTGAAGGATCTATTCACTCTGCAGTCTTATGAGAACTATGAGGTCAGTGAGCTCCCCAACATGGCATTTTGCTGCCTCTTGTGACGGCTGCAGGAGCATGTCCAGGGATATGATGGATGTCAGAATGCAGCTCTTGTTAGTACTTGCAATCATTTGCATGTGCTGGTGGGAGGAAGTTTAAATTACCAAAATTCCTAAGTATGAGTTGCATTCTGTATTATTCAGAGTGGGGGTTGCCTTCCAGCAGGAGAATAGTGCAGTGTTTTGTGTAATACATTCATTACCTCAAATGTTTACAAAATGTACCAGAGGCATAATAAAGTTATCAGCGTATGTAAAAATATAGGGAAGTAAAAATYCCTCATCAGCAAAATTCAGGCTGGGTTCTGAGCTGACCTTGAGGAATTTAGCATCTAACTGAAATGGAATAGTAGATGAATGCCTGTTCATTTTTTATTATTGCTGCTTGCAAGTTTCCTGGTAAACTACCTATCAAGTAATACTTYCCTTCTGTTTCTGTTTCCACTGTTGTTTCCTTTTTCTTCCCATCTTTTGCACCTCCTTTTCGTCAATCATCTTTCTTACTTTTTTTTAATTCTCCCAGAACTTGATTAAAGCTTAAAAAAATACGGACAAAAGTGCTTTCAAGTGCTTCTGTTTTCTTCAAATTTCAAAGCTTTTATTAGTCACACAGCATAACAGATGTCGTAGCAGTTTTATTTAATGTACATGGTAAAATTCCTTGCAATAACTAAATAACTTATGATCAGTTTCACAGGTGAACTCTCCTTGGGTGAGAGGAGCTACTCAGTGCTTGGAAGAGCTGGGAGCACAACAGGGCTTTCCCTTTTGGCTCAGCTGAAAGCCTCTTAGGCTCCTCCAGCCTTCCAGTGAACATGTCCTGACATTTTTARCTATTAGAATGCATAATGTTTTGAAGTATATGGTATTGAGACTGACTCTGCTTGAGCTTCTGTATGCCAGAAGTGCTGTATTTCATTTGGTTCATATTTAAGTTGGAAGTGATGCTTTTTACTTTTTTAAGTGAGCAGCCATTTTTTTCTTTCAATCTTCATTACAGGCACAGGTTACTAGGAGGCAGAAGCCAGTGTAAAAAATAAGGAAATTAGGATTTAGCTTCTTTGATGACTAAAAAGACTGATAAAAGCCTGCCCTTAGTTTGTAGTATGTTTTCTTATTGAAGTGCGAAGTAAGAGTACTTAAAGTAGCAAGTAAATAGTTAAATTTCAGGCAGCMCAGGCTTGCATGAGACTGATGTACCATTTWCATCCCTCCTAAAGTTTCAGAATAWTAAGTGCARTGCGTGCTGTGGTGCTTTCTTCTGTCGATAGYTGCCATATGGATGGCTTAAAACCAGCCTTGAATCAATTCTGGCTTGACATASAGGCTGGGAATAAGCTCACAAAAACAATACAACACTGCCAGCCACTCAAAGACAGCACAAACAGCTTGGAGAACTAACACAATATGGAGGMAGAATACAGTGCCCTGCAGTGCAGATTTTAGCCCCAGGACCAGCCCACTGTGTCTCCGGGACCATAATGCAGCAGTTTAGCATTGAAAAGTGAATTCCCTGCTTGTTTGTTTACAAAGGTTCTATTGGATCTGCTATTCCTTTCACTGCTACTCTTAAAGAGGAGATCCTGCTCTCACCAACCAACACACACCTCTGCRCACCCAGCTCCTGTTCCCCCTTTCCCCTTCACTGGTTCCCTTTTACTGTACAATGAGTCAATTCAGGTCACTAGTCTGGCAGAAAACAAATTCAGCAATAAAAAAAAAGAAATAGTTTTACAGCAGATTAGTGACTTGGATCAACTCATTATGTGATGGGTACCAGAGCATGATCTGGAAAGAGGTGAAGACAGCAGCCTGAAGCAGAAGTTCTGYATGCTAGGGAGCAGGATCTCTTGTTTTGAAGGCAACAAGCCTATTTAGAWGAATTCAGCTGTAACACATAAGCCCAGGAAAACATTACAGCATCTACACCACAGGAAGGGAAATTCTATTTGCTTGTCTGCCCTTTCAGAGGTACCCGCAGTACTACAGGTTGTGTTGTGACCGTGTAATCATAGTAAATATTGGGACTGCTAATAGTTTTAAAACCCTCTAATTAACTATCTGTGAGGCAGATTAGATAAAAAAAGCACACAGCCCCTCAGTGCACACCACGCTTAAAAACTGAGCAATCCCCATCAAAAGGTGTACGTTGCCATAGGAGGTTGCTCCTGCGACAGTGGGGGTGTGTGTCTTTCATTTTCCACATCCCCTTCAGGACAGGCTCCCTGGGGCCTRCTCACAGCATTGTCCACAAAATCAGATCCATTACCTGATGTGCAGAAGCCCAATAATCACACACTCAAAAGAGGTGCCCTACTTTAACTGGTAAAAGGTATGTCCTGCCTTGGAGGTGGAGATCAACTCTGAAAAGGGTGTATCCTATTAAAAACATCATAGTATTGTAAGAAACCATCATCTGTTTTACCTGAAAGGTGGCCTATTTAGGACTAGGCGGTGTCATAAAAGGTTATTCATTGTATGCTAGTGCGTCTGGTTCTGAATGGAGAGGGGACTCATCCATATCACCATCATCATCACCTCATTCCACAGGAACACAAATCCTGCTGGATGTGATCAAAGGCAGGGAACAGGATAAAATCCTTTCCTTCTCTCTGAATCAGTCCAGTGGAGATGGCCTGCAGCCATGACACTGCAGCTGATTTTTTTCAGCTAGTGGGATTGAATTTTTTTTTTTGTATTCTCAGGGAATGTATCTGAACATTTCCATGCATATCTCTCTGGAGAAAATGCATATTTGGAAAGGAAATTTCACATGAAAGTACATGTCAGCAGATGAATTAATTTTTTTTTTATATTGCAAACCAACTGTTGTGATACAAAGCACAGTAAGCAATTGAAGCTTATTTTCTGTAAACAGGACTAATATTTTGTTTTCAACTTCATATGATTGTTGTGAAGCTGCATATGTGAAAAGAATATCGAGTTCCTAAATGCAGATTATTTTTTAAGTGTATACTTAATTTTCTGTGAAAAATTGCACTAARTAATAATAACCAAGTAGAATTGTCTTGCAAAAAGCATATGAAATGTGAAAGTGAGGTGCTCTGATGCTCTTAGAGAAAAATGGGGGACATAAGTATTTTGGGAATTAAGGTAAAGCTTYTCTGCATGGGWATTGATTRTTTCTCCTTTTTCTGACCTCATCACTCCTGCTGCACCTGAAATCAGTTCAGGCTCACAGTGCAGCAGTTATTGCTTGCCTAACTGGGACCTGTGCAGTCAAAAGCTGCCTTTCTGGTGCAACAGAAAACAGCTCTTAYAGAAGCACATGCTATTGAGSCCAGTGCTCATGTTGGGACATTCAGCTTTCTCCCACCTCCTGTGAATATTATTTGCTCCTGAGTGTTGTCATTTCCAAAATGCTGGGAACGTGCGTCTACGTAGAGCAAAGTACTTAGCAGTAGACCTGGTTAGAAGCTTTYTAGATGGAAATCAGAGGCAGATTTGTSTTCATTTATTTAGGACTCTTGCAGTATTAGCAGAATGTGACAGCAGTCCCAGCAACAGAAAATCACAATGACTCTGGCAGTCTCCTGAGAAWTGGGAAGTGCAGAGTAGTGYCTGCYTTCCCAGATTTCAACCAGAATCTTAATGTGAATCTACTAGAAAAGAGGATCTTATTGCAGGAGTCCCAGTGGTCTGGTACCAGATCCAGTGCTGCTCAGGCTCTGCAGAGCTGCAGAGCCCTGGATGGAGACACCAGGTGGACTGTCAGTGGTGCC